TGAAGACCACAGGGCAGTGGAGCGCCTGGCCCCACCGAGGTGGCCCTGACCCTTTCCATCCTCTCATCTGGTTGTGGCCGCCTTGTCTGACTTTCCTGCTGCAGCAGCAAGGAACTTCTGGAGACCTGTGCCCTAGAAAGTCCCAACCTGCTCTCTCCGCATCCTCCTGCTGCCCTGCAGCTGCCCAAGCCCACAGGTTTCCTCCCCCATATGCTGAGCATCTACACTTCAGTGGGGAGGGGGTGAAGCCCAGGACAGGGCCTGGGAGTTTCACAGGCACAGCCCAAATGCTGGCCCTGGAGAGCCCTGCTCCCCTTGGCCCGGGCAAGTGACTTCCCCCTTGGAGACGGCTCCTGCTCTGTGGGACAGAAACAGTCCTGTCTGAGCTCCCAGTGTGGAGCTGGGTATACTCCGGACTTGAGGGACAGACTCTCCAGGCGCTGGTGGACAGAACAGCCTGCGGTGGGTCCTCAGCAGGGACTTGGGAGGGAGGCGAGTGCCATCAAGTGGGTGGGGGCTCCAATGTGCTGATGCTCCACCCCCTTTTTAAAGACAAAGCATTTTGGAAGGCTGAGGATTGTGAGTGCAAGGCTAGCCTGGACTACATAGTGAGACTTCGTCTCAAAAAACCAAACTCTCTCTCTCTCTCTTTCTCTCTCTCTCTCTCACACACACACACACACACTCATACTCACGCATGGAAAAAAAAGGAAAAGAAAATGAAGCTTTGACAACATACACAGAAAAGTTTGAGAAAAATGTACACCCTGAGCACTGGCATTTTAATTTTTCTTTTGCTCCTTTATTTTTCTAAAGTTTCTACAGTGAATGTGATACTTGGGAAGGGGAAGACCAAGACGCCCTACGTAGCCTGGGTTGGCTTCCAACTCATGATCTTCTTGCCTCAGCCTCCTGCCAATATGCCTTTCTACAGAGACGCAGCTGCTGCCCTCCGAATGCTGGCAGCCTGGCAAGACCACACCTTCTGCATCACTGTCCCTCCTCCACCAAGGAGCAGTCCTCTTGGATGTGCAGGCAGCAGAGGCTCACTGGTCCTGCACAGCAAGGCACCCAACACTCGCATGACAAAAACCAGACAGACAGCCCAAGAAAGCCAGAGGACCCTCTCTCCCGTGGTCCAGCCTCAGGCACCTGAGGGGTTGGCTGTGGGCAGGGAGTCCCAGACCTCTGCTCTGCAGATGGGAAGTCCATCCTGGTGGCAGAAACAAGTCCCCATGGCCAGTGGATCCCAGAAGCCCTGAAATGCTCCAGGGGCCTCAGCTCCTTTCCAGGAACCCCAGTTGCTATACTGCAGAAGGTGGAAGCTGCCCCATGTGACCAGGGCCTCCTCTCTCCCTGACGCTGGCTTCCTGTCTGCCTAGGAGGTGAGTAATGTCCGCTCCCCACCCCAGGCATCCCTTCTGGAGGCCAGGCCTCACATTTTCCGTTCAGGAAGGGGCAGTGAGAGGCCTAAGGAAGCGCATCAAGGGAAGTGGGAGGAGGGCGCGGGTGTGAGGTCGGGCTGGGCACTGTGTACCTGGCCTCCTGGCGGCCCACGACCCACGGGCCTGAGTGTAAGTGCCTTTCACAGTCTCCCCCACTCACACACTCATAACCACATCCCCGGCACCTGCTGGGGTGCTCAGGTGCTGCCAGTAGGAGGGGAAGACAAACATGAAACAGGTAACCCCAAGGATCGTGACGAACCAACGTCAGCCCCCAGGCAATGCCAATCCCCAGAGTCTCGGGACAAAGTCTCCCCACCAGCTGCTCCTAGGCCTCCTCCCTCCACACCCAAAGGCAGCTGCCAGACCACAGCGGCTTCCCAAGCACCTCCTATGTTGCACAGAGCCCAGAAGCAGCCCAGAGTCTCAGCTGGACTCAGCAGCAGGGCTGGAGGAGCGGGAACCTCGCACAGTGACCCCACACCTGCCAAAGCGGGAAAGGAAGAGAGAACAGTGGTGCCCCCACCCTTGTCTCTGGCTGGCACCCAGCCTCTCCCACTCCTGTTTTCTCCTCTGTGGACAGAGCAAGAGCAATGACCTCCCACACACACAGACACAGCCCCGACTGAGGGAGCCCTCACCGAGGGAGCACTGCCCGCCGCCACCACCTATGACTGCAGGGAAAGGGACCTAAGTGTCAGGAATGGGAAAGAGCCATAGGAGGCCTGTACAGAAGGTCTACAGGCAGGGCCGGGGCCACGCCAAAGCCTAACGGACTCAAGGCAGGCTGGCCCCTATGCCAGCCGGTGACTCTGAGCTCGGCTCCTGGGGGAAAGCTAGGATCTTCTCCAGTCAGTCTCAGCTTCAGTGGCCTTGAGGGTGGACCTGCCCCACCAACATCTGCCTTTGTTAAAAAATTAAAAATAAGAAAGGCTTTCACAAACCTGCCACCAGGTATGACTCTGTACCAACTGCCTGGCTTCTTAAGACTGCTCAGGCCACAGCACTGGCCAGCAGGGGAGGGACTGGCGTGGCTGGAGAGATCCTGCCCCTTTCTGGCCAAGGGAAAAGACCCAGGTGCTCAGTAGCTATGCTTAGGAGTAAAGAACCCAATTTGTCCCAACAAGGAGTGGGCCTCTGTCTCCCCTGGATCGCGTGCCTGGGGTCAGCTCTTGAAGTTTGTTCATTGGGCAGCAGATAATTGGCAGGCTCTGCCATGGGCCCACCCTGTATCCGCAGTCAGCAGGCAGAAGAGACCAAAGTGACATGGTGCAGTGCACAGATCTCGCAGCGGGAGCCTCAGACACCACCCTTACAAACACGCAGCATCCACAGAGGACCGGGGCTCACGGGCCACACACTAGTGCCCCTGGGCTGGTACACTGGGGAGTCTTCCAGAATAAGGTTATGAGCAGGGCCGGGGCTGGGTGTGGAGAGCAGGGCCCACCCTCCAGAGCCACCTCCTCGCCTGTCCTCACCCTGTCCTTACCCCAGGCCTTTGTTAACGACAGGGAACACGAGCGCACACCCCAAAGCTGCGAAGGGTCGCCTCAAAGGAACCGCCCTATCCACACCCTCCTAGAGGAGCTAGTGTTTGGGAACCCAGAGTCCAGGTGATACGTTCATGCTCACCAACACCCTCCTTGGAACCCTCCAGCCTGACATAGCGGCCATGGCCAGGCCCAAGAGACCCGACCAGCCATCTGGGCCTTCTCACGGCCTGGGATCCCGCATCGGGCCTAGGCCAACCGCTGCCAGCACATCAACCCAGTGTCCAGATACAGCTGCTGATTAAATAACTAAATTGGTACTGTGGTCAGCACCTCCTCCTGTCTCCAGCTCTGCCCGGCGACCCTGATGAATACTCTGTCCTGTCAGCAAGCCAGTCTTCCTCAGCCCTACACCCACCCCTGGGATCACCCCATGCTGGGCTCCTGTGGACAGCTGCAGGACAAAATGACCCTTGCAGCCACTTTACTACTCCCTTCCTCATCCGCATCATCAGTCAAGCTCTGAACCGCTGGCAACATGCTGAGGACCCCCCTGGTCCCCACGGAATCTCTACCGTCTGGTGCCTGGTCCTGAGAGTCCTGGCCCACCCCATCTCCCCAGGAAGTGTCTCAGACAGTGACCCCTCTCCCACAGGGTGGCTGTAAGGAATAGCAGCACAAGACTTTTCTGGGAACACATAGGAGGATACTGTATTATTACTCTGGGCTTTTAGAAATGTTCTGGCTTCTTCTTGGGAAGGTACAATGGATGGTTCTTGGCTGAGCATTGCTGGCATGGCCCTTGGTGACTTTGGGTGTGGCCCTCAATCAGCTCAGATGAGGCAGGAGGTCAATGTCTGGGTTGGGCGCGTCCCAGCCCAGAGCCCCCAGCAGCATGTGGTCACCCCCACCTGGTCCCCACCCCGTGGGAACACTGGGCAGCGGTCTGTGAGGCTCACAGCACACATGCGGGGTCTCGCTGACCTCCTGAGACATTGAGGCACAAAGGCCTTTTCTTTCCCAGCAGCCTTGCACCCCACTCCTCACACAGCCACCCCCTGGGCTCCCCAGCTGCTGGCCCAGACACCTCCAGCTGCCTGAAGGCTGTGTCTCCTCCCAGACAAAGCAGGATTCAGGCTGAGAGGGCAGTTGGGAGGCAGGCGTGTGGGTTCTGCCATGGAGACGAACTTTGACCCAAACTGCAAGGCTCTTACCCCTTATTTACTCTTTAAGGCTAACCCATTTCACAGAGTTAACATTACACCCCTTTTTAACCCTGTGCCTCCCTCCTACATTCCAGGCTGTGACCTTCGACCCCTCCTAATTGTCAGCTCCTACACCCCAGTTCTTTTGAGGCCTAGCTTCAGGCCATCCCCCAGGCCCAGTCACAGACTCCCTGGAGATCAGAGCCCTACCAGGGCACTCTGATCATAGGTGCCACTCCCTGGCCACAATGTTTCAAACTGAGGCAGACACCACAGCCCCAGAGCCCAACCCGCCACATTTCCTCCAGAACCTGGCGCCTGACCCTGCTCTCCAGCCCCCAGAAGAAAGCCTCTATTCCCAGAGCAGCCCTGGATGGCTATGGAGGCCGGGGTATGCAGTGAAAACCTGCGCTGCCTGGTCACTTGTCAGGTGGCCCTGTCCCAGAGCTAGCTTTCTTGATTCTAGTGCTGGGCAGCTGAACTGCTCCGGGCCAGGCACATCATGTTACCTTCCAAGACCACATCTTGACAACTTTGAAATCCACATCCCACCAGCTCTGGAGCACCGCAGCAATCAAATAGGCGTGATACCCACTGGCCGCAGCCCAAGGGCTCTGCCCATTTGCCTTTGGAAGGAGCGACCTGCTAGCTCTGGAACTGGGGCTGGGGACAGTGGGGCCCACAGAGACACTAGAAACGCTGGAGGTAGCTCAAAGTACAGCAGTGCCAGCCCAGGATCCTCACCCTGTCCTTACCCCAGAATCCAAGCAGACCCACCCAGCCAAAACCCCCACCCAGAATCCGCACAGCCACTCACAGGACAACCCGCTCCCACCCCACCGGCTGCCTAGGGCACTCACCATCCTCTTGGCTGTGGAGGTTCTGCGGGCTCCGCATCCTCTCGTCCTGGCTGGGGCTCAGGCTGGAGGCCAGGTGTGGGTCAGCGGACATCCATGTGGAGTCATTCATATCAAAGTCTTCACTGCTTACAGAGGTCTCATCCTGAGAGAGACAAAGAGGGCCCGCGTTCAACAGTAGTGGCTTTCCCAGGGCCCCAGGCAGCCTTCTGAGTGTATCCAGGGCTTGGGGGCATTTGGAAGGGCCTGAGGGGGCACAGAGAGCCCCCCAAACCTTGCAGTGAGGGTTGGGTGGCACATCCCCGCCCCTGTGGAAGCAGCTTGGGCTCTGGTTCCTGTCGGCCTCCCTGTCTGTAATTGAAGACAATTACGAGGTCTCACATCCTGTAAGGGCGGATAGCAGGGCCTGGCTCTTACCCTTGTGAACCAAGGTTGAAACCAGTGCTGTAAACAAGGGCCACGGCTCCCACCCGAGCCAGGGAAGAGGGCTCCCTCCGAGCAGGGCAGGCAGCCCCCAGTGGGTAGCAGGACAGACCAGGCACTAAGGAGGCTGCTGGCTGCCCCCTCCAGGCCTGCCTCTGACTCCTGTGGAGCATGCATGGAATTCCTTTCTCCCACTCCCCCGGCCCAGAGGACATTTCTGTCTTCCTCCTTCCTAACCTTTGCTGTGCTTCAAAGATATGCTCTTGGGCGGCTTCCAGAGCTGAAAAGGCCAGCCCTAGAAGTGTAGAGGAGGAAGGGGGTGGGGCGGGCCAGGGTTCCCATCAGACCGCAAAGGGGGTTCAGGCTTAAGAGCCTGGGGGGCCTCCAGGGCCTTACAAACAGCCGGATGGCCTGCTGGAGAGGACCACGCCTGCAGCCTCCTCTTCCCTCTCAGCGAGCCCTTGGCCAGTCATCTGGGAACCCCCGGGGCGGGGCCCCTTCAATCCAGCCCTCCAGCAGGAAGGGACCCCACCTCCTTCTGGCCCAGCCTCTTTCAGGAGCAGCAAGCAACTGTGTTTGGGAGCTGGCTGTAAAATGCAGGAAAGATGACCCAGCAGCTCACTCCCCACTCCCAGAGTTCTGGCTTTGCCCCCCTCCTCCCCCATCCCAGCAAGATACAATGGCCTCTGTGGGCCCAGTCAGGACTCTGGCACGGCAACCCCAAGCCTCCCCTCCAGGGCCCTCACAGACGTCTCTTTTATAGTGAGCAAACACACTTTGGTTTGAACTTTCATGGGCTGCTGTCCCTGGGGCAGGCACATCTGCTCTGAGCACTAGGGAACCGGCCATCAGCCTCCATGCCCTCCCCCACCGACGGCTGGCAGGGAGTTTCCTGGAATTCACAGCTTCTGCGCAGCCACAGAGGACCCTTGGTGCTGGGTCCAGAGGACAGGAGCTGGGCCACTGTATGGGCTCGAAGCCCCTATGTGCTACACACACACACACACACACACACACACACACACACCCCGGCACTCAGGTCTCCCGCCTGCAGGCTGTCTGCTCCAGCACAGCCTTCCTCCTGAAAACCTGCTCCTGCTCACTGCTCACTCACTGCAGGCAAAAGCCTCTCTCTTCCAGAAGGGTACGAAGGGGCAAAACTCTCCCCAGCACTAACATTGTGCAGACAGGGGCGGTGGCAGTGTGTGTGTGGGGGGTCCCTTGGAGGTACAAAGCAAGACCACTGGGCAAGTGCTCTCCTTTCCATCTTCCCCACTGGCCAGATTCAGGGAGCCAGGAGCAGGACATCCTCATCTCTGCATGGTGCAGAAACAGGAAGACCCTTGGGAATTGTTGGAACACACACAAATTAGACTGGGCATCCTCTGAGCACTGGAAAGCACCACCTGCTTAAACTCTTCACTCTCTCATTCACCAAGTATTTACTGAACACCGACTATGGGCCAGCCCCTGGCTATGTACTGGGAAAGTAAGCTGTGGACCAGGCCAGTCATTGCCTTCCTGGCACTTACCACTTGGTGGAGGAGACAGACAATATGCAGAAAAACGCCTAATACTGGTGGTCACAAGGGCTACAAAGCAAAATAATGGGGAGGAGGTGGGGGAGAGTGATCTGCAGGACAGGACTGCCAGAATGCTCAAGGTGGGGGCACTAAGCGAGGCTGCAGGAGGTGAGGATGGGGATGCACGGGTCCACGTGGCCTGCAATCCAGGCAGTCAACAATAGCCAGGCACTGCTATTGGGTCTGCAAAGCAACAGGAGGCTTCTGCAGTCAAGGGTGGGCAGCACAGCCACAAAGGAGTGTCCCCTCCCGAGGTGCATGTCACTGGGGCAGGGCCTATCCCTTCCCTCTGGCTGGCTCAAGGCTTGTGAAGCACCCCAAAAAACCCAGGGGTGCTCACGGGCGCAGGAGCAGGGGGCAGCTGGGGTGCAGAGAAGGCTCCACACTCTGCCATGTCTGTCGGGACAACACGGGCCGCAGCTTTTCAGGTACCAAGTGCTTCCCTTGTTTGTCTTTTCTATCCACCGTCTCCCCAAGGCCCACCAGGTAGGCACAGTTCTTAGTCCATCCTACCGAGGAGGAAACAGGGTTTCCAAAAGCTAAAAGCACACGCGCCAGCAAGTGGTAAAGCCAGATTTGTGCCATCACCAAGGCCTAGCCACCCTCTCCTTTCCACGCCCAAACCTCTGTCCCAAGCTGTCCCTTCCCTAGAAAGCCCACTGCTGTGTTTCAAAACCCCTTTCCTGGCGCAACCTTCTCCGTCAATCCAGCTGCATCTCTGGGGCCCCGCGGAGATGCCTGCCCGCACCACTTGCCCAGCACAGCAGCCACCGTGCTGTGGCTCGCAGCTGCATCTTTCTCAAGAAAACCCTACACCTGAGGCTGGGGATTTAGCTCAGCGGCACAGCGCCTGCTTGGCAAGCGCGAAGACGTGAGTTCGATTCCCGGTACCGGAAAAAAAAAAAAAACAAAAAGAAAACCCTACACCTTTCCAAGAGTGGGACTAGGGGCTGGTGCTCAGTGACAAAGCCTTTGCCCAAGATGGGCAAGGCTCTGGGTTCCACCTCCAGCACCAAAGAAAGAAAGAGAGAGAGAGGAAGGAAGGAAGAGAAAGAGTGGGACAGGCTGCACGTTCTCTGAATCCCCCACGAGGCCAGCAAGACTTGTTGAATAAACTGAATTGCTTGGCATGATGTTGTGTTTAATGAGGACACTGCATTAATTTGACAATTAAGGACTCTGGTCCCACTGCGCATAGTTCTTGAATGGGAACCATAGGAAAACCTGGGCCCTCCTGCAGCTGCCAGCCACCCACGCTCGGCTTCTCTGGCTCAGACGGCTGAACTGTCCATCCAAGGAGACTCCACCTGGCTCTGCCCTGACAGGTCCCATAGGGAACAGGCAGAATGTTTCACAGTGACACTGAAGTCACCCCATAATGAAGAGCATCCAGTGCCCATACATGTGGGGCTTCGGGGCAGGGGGTTTACGGGATTTCCTCACAATGGCCCTGCAAAGCTGGCACCCGAACAGGTCCATCTCCCGATCTAGTAACTGTCCCTCAAAGCTCGAATCAACCAACTGCCCACTGGCACAGCACCAGCGGCAGGGTAGGGTCTGAATCCAGGCAGTGTGCACGCACAGCCTACGTCACAGAGTCACCATACACACCTCCTTCAACCCAAGAACTCAAATCCTTAATGACAAGGTGAGACCCCAAGGGAATGATGGGCCATGGGACCATATTTGCACATATATACCTGCTCACTCTCCCTCCAACCAACTGATGCATATTATTGCACATCTACTGCGTGCTAGTGTTGCACTAGGGACACCGAGGGCTAAAATGGGGCTCCTATCCTTCAGACCTTGTTAGCTAAGGACAGGGACCTGCTAAAAATCCTGACCCACTTGGTGAGCAGGGGGCCTGTGGGGCTCCTATCCAGTTACCCAATGTATTTTTCCCACAGCCCCCAGGGTTCTGCCACATAAGCCCCAGTTTTGTGAGGAGTAGGTCTAGGAGTTTGACACCCTCTCCGCTACAGCAATTTTTTAAGAAGAAATCGTGTCTAACTTTTCAGAAAACAGGCTCTTCCAAAACCAGATCAGTTTTGGTCAGACTGACAAGGACACCTTGGACACCCATACTTTTAGGGCTGGCCTGGAGAAGCAACCTTCCCAAGACCCCCTCAGCATACTGCCGGCTGCAGCAGAACCCTAGCTCTTTACGGGTGCAGGCCCACTGCTGCAGAGGGACAGAGGCTATATGTCCAGGCACCCAGCCACGCCCAGAGAAGCTGCAAAAGCAGGCTAATTACCCAGGTAATTTCCAGCACACATAATTCAGAGGCCATCACCCAAGTCCAGTGGGCCCTGCAGGAGGCAGTCAGTGCAGGTTGGAGAGTGGTGAGGCCTCAGGCCCGTGCTGGGACCAAGGAGACTCCACCACCACCCAGAGGTCACAAGTCAGTCACTCCTTGCTTTTCCCTCCTGGAATCTTAACAGAATTTGGGCTAACTTCTCCTTTTCCGTTAACAATCTTCAATGAAACTGTCATCAGAAAATACAACTATGTACCATCCATTGCTTCTGGGTTCTTTCACCCAGGACTGTGTGGCTGGCGAAGCAGCTGTCCCCTGGTTCCTCTAGTTTCTGCCCTCGGACATTGTGAAGCCTATAGCCTTGCCCAGCTGGCAATAAAAGTCCATCATATATTCAGCACCAGAGGGTCTGAGCCCTTAGGGCCACAGGGCAACAAGGTAAACTGCACTTCATAAAAGCGGCACCTGGTCAGTTTCTGGGATACACCTCAACCCAGCAGCCCTGACTCCAGGCAGAGACAGGAGCTGACCAAACTCTCCCTTGCGCTTATCTTCAGTCCAAAATTCACAGGCAGGTTCAGCTACTCTCCACCCAGCTCTGAAGCCCTTCCTCCTGGGCAGGCCAGCTAGCACCAACCACTGCGAAGCCCAGGAGGAGGGGAAAATGGGAGATGAAGGAAGGAAATGGTGGAAACAGGCCTGTATCCATGGCTTGTAACTATGGGCAGGTGCTATCAGTAACCTGATTATTTTACAACTGGGGTCAATTTCTCTGGAACTGGGCTCCTGGTGCCTCTGAAATCCAGCCATTTGTATCCTCCAGGACTTGGGATCCTTGGGCGTGCCCCACACAATATTTTCCAGGCCTCTCCTCTGAA